TCCCGCTGGCCACGCTATTCCTGACACGAGCCAGGATGCTGCTGGCCGCAGCCCTGGCCATCCTCCCGACAGCTCTTTCCCATGGCACTGGCTGTTATTAAGGCAACGGAGAATTGCTTAGAAATAACAATAATTCTGCAGCAGACACGGCCAGATGACTCCCACCCTGATCCTGCAGTCTCTGACAAGACGACGCTCCTTAAATCAGTCACTTTCTGCGTACCCATAGTGCTGCCTTGTTCGCAGGGGTTTTCTCCGGAGTTACCCTCCCTCGGGAAAAGCCTCTGAATGCACCTGACTTTAAAAAAAAAAACCAAGCAAAACACTCAGTTAAAAAGCCAGGAGCCTCCTCCTGAGCTGGGTAATCACTAACTGGTGCGGAAGGGAGCACAGGACGGGGAGGCAGCAGTGACAAGGACCCTGCGCTCACTCCCCGATGTCCCTTGCAACCTTCCTCCTTTCCCCCAGGCTTTCTTTCTCCCTGAACCGCAGACTCGAAACCAGAATAGATCACGGCTCAGCTTCAGGATCACGAGATGCTCTTTTTGCCATCCTTTTCCCTCTCCCCTTCCCTGCCTCCCTGTGCAAAGCAACGGTGCCCAGATCAGAACCACGCTGGGCAGAAACCCGCTGGTAAACGCAAAGCGCGTTTAAACCTCGGCACAGGCACAACGGCGGGTCCACAGGGGACACCAAACTCGTCCACACAAACATCCAGCTCAAGAAAATAGATTTTACCTTATCTTACAATACCAAATAGTACATTTAACCAGAAACCGGCTGCAGACTGCATCACGTCTACTGGCGCAGACCACGCGATATTTTGCATTCTCCCGGGACCACGTGGCTCCACGAGTTGATGAAGCCTTCACCGCGCTCCTCCGCTGTTCAAAAGCCTCCAGCCCGGATGGCAACCTGCATTAAACATCTGCAACTCCCCTCCAAAACCCATCACCATCAGGACTGCGTGTTACGGAGACTTCTCACCCGTTTTCCTTGCCTCCCGCGCTGTCAGCGCAGCCACCACTCCCACCTCGAGCTGCTCCACCAGCAAAGCCACCGCGAGCTGCTCCGAGCTCCAACCTCCTTTTTGTGAGGGCACAGGAGAGCCCGGGGGCAGCCCGGCCGCGGTGGCCATGGGATGCCGCGTCCCTCCCCAGCCCCCTGTCCCAAAAGAGAGCGACACATCCAGGGCTACCCCAACCGGGAGGGTTTTGCCGCATGAGACTGCCGCGCCGAATTAAGCGTGTTAGAGGAAAAATGCAGCTTTTTTAATAGCTGCATTTTTGCTTGAGTATAGAACTGATTTCAGTACCTTCAATTATTTTGCAGGGTTTGGCAGCTGCCTGGGAACGCAACCCTTTGCGGAGGAGACCACAGCCCACGGCTCACTAATTGCTTGTTAGAAATTGCCACTTCTGGGGAGTATCAGCCCTTGTTGGGCAGACAGAGAAGAGGTGGTGACAGCAGCAGGACAGGAAAATTGAGTCAGTCCCAAAGACACCCCAGGGAAGGGATTTCCCCTACTCAAGGGCAGGTATTTGTTTTCCTGCGTTTTGCTCCATTCCTCCCTTCCTTCCTTCCCCATCCCAGCCAGACTGCCAGAAGAAGGCGTGCATGGACCAACGGACGGGGTCGCAGGGGATGCCCAGGCTGGGGGTCCCGGGGGGCTCTGGGCATCCCCTGCCCCAAGCAGGGTAGCAGTGGGGCACGCCAGGCTGCCCCGGGCTGCACCCAGCCACTCAGAATTATTATTGCATTATAATGCAGTATCTAAGTACTAGAGAGCAAAAAATTTTATACATCATTTGGATCTTGACCTCAGATGAAAGAATATGACTGTATCTCAAAGACCCATCCCATTCCCTACATTTAAATAAGCGTAATTCAGACAGAGTTGGCTTTTTAAAAAGCAGGTTGGCACAGCAGCGAGGACAAAGACAAGCAGAGTGGCTGCGGACGAGCCAGGGGCCCGTTCCACGCCCTTGCGCTGCGGGGATGAATGGCAGCTTGTATTTTATAAAAGCAGCAAAACAAGGAACAGAAAGTACAGTCATTTAAGTTAAGCGAGCAAACGCACACCTCCCCACAGTCCATTACTGGGATGGAATAAAATATATATTTGATATATACAATATAAAGCAACGAAAGATACCTGAATGGCACTTGAACCCTCCCTGTGCCCTGCTCGGTGCTCTGCGGCGCTGGAAAGCCCTGGGACGCGCTTGGCAGAGCTCAACTTGAGGGCTTTGCCCGGGAAATGCATCCTGGCTTGGGGCAGGGAGGGCAACCACCACCAGTGACCACCCCAGCAGCGCTTACAGCTGCCCGAATGGCCTCAAGGACGGGTTTCTCCCGAGAAGATCTACCACGGTCCGATCGCTTCACCCTACACACGTTCAACGCTTCCCCGTGCCGGCCAGCAGCTTGCCGAGAGCGCGCCGGCCTCGTCGATTCGGCATTGCCTACCTTGTGCGAGTAATGCTGATCCACGATTCTGGCCAGCCCGAAGTCGCCGATCTTCAGCACCAGATCCTCCGTGCTGATGAAAATATTGGCCGGCTTGAGGTCGCGGTGGAGGACATTGGCCGAGTGGATGTACTTCAGCCCCCGCAGCAGCTGGTACATGAAAAGCTTGGCGTGCTCCTCGGTGAGCTTCCCCTGCTCCAGCAGCCGCGCCAGGTCCGTCTCCATGTACTCCTGGACGATGTACACCACGTTAAACTTGAAAAAATCCCCGCGCAGGTTGGTCCCCTTCGGCCCCAACACCTCGTACACCTTCACGATGTTATCGTGGTCCAGGCGGCGGATGATTTTGATCTCCCGGAAAGCGTGCTTCATGCTCCGCGCATCGCCGATGGTGATCTTCTTCACCGCCACTTTGCGGCAGCTCTTGCTGTCGAGGGCTGACAGCACCAGCCCGTTGGCCCCGAAACCCAAGGGGCGAAAATTAATGAAGCGACAGCCCAGGTCGTACCCGTACATGCTGGCGATACAGTCACACTTCTCTGCCATCGCGGGCTCCGTCCTCTTCCGGCTTTTTCCTCTTTGTCACTTGAAAAACTGGGAGAGTTGAAGGGCTTCCAGATTGCAAATGCGGTTTGAAATCAAGTGCCTCATCATTACTTAGAGTTGCCTGGGGAGGTCTCGCTCTGAGCCTATCACTTCAAGACGACATGCAGATGCAGTGAAAATAGATGCGAGCACACACACACAAATAAAATGTTTTAAACAGGGTGAGAATTCAAGGGGTAGAAGAGACTTTCCAAGCAGCGTGGACAAACGCAGCCCAGAGATCGCAAGCAAAACAGAAAAGTTATTTTTCTTGAGACTAAAAGATCAGTGCTGCTACATTTTTCAGCCACTTTCTTGTTTTCCTTCTCCAATGGCCCCGAAACGAT